AAAAAAACGAAGCACCTATAACGAAGTATTCATAAAAACAGAACTGAAAAAGAATACTGGAGAGCGTTCATGTTATGCTTCAGCTTTTTGAAGAAGAGTGTAAGTATTGATGTAGCATTTTGCTAGATGCTCAAAACGCGGCGCGCTGTAAACGCTGGATCGATATCTATAAATTGCTAGTTGCTTAGAGCGTTCGCTTACACTCAAAAGTATGAACACACTTTAACGGAAGGACTGCTACCTACCCGAAATTTGCAGCAACTTTCTACTCCATCGGCTTCGGTCCCTGGTAACTTGCTTCGCCGTATAAACTTGGACAATCTCGTTTTGATGTATTCGAGAACCATAAAAGCACAAAAACTCCACGAATAATTGGGCCAAATTCCACGGTTCTCCGTTTTGGCCGAACTTCTCGGTCTGAATTGTACTCCAATACTTTATGCACCTTCAGTTCAATACAAACTATGTCTCAGAGAAAACCACAATACGAGCCCACTAAGGGTATGGTCTGACATCATTTTTTGCCTCTTTTGTTTTTTCTTTGTTTGCGTCACAGTGTTCCATGCCCCCTGCACATTCTAAGTTTGCGCAAAGATGAGTGAGTGACCCATCTATCCTAATAAATAGCCACACCCGTATTCGTTAGGGTTTTTCAGTGCTTAGCCACAGTATGGAGCGCCATATCTCAGCCGCAGCGAAAGCGATGAACTACGAAGGCATGCAACGGGTGGCGTAAGCAGTATTCGCTTCGAGACCCAATCCACTGAGGGTTGCAGTGCTGCAGCACGTCGACTGTATCGACTCTCTCTCTCTCCTCTCTATCTCTCTATCTGCCTGCACCTGTCCAGCTAGTTAAAAAGATTCAGCTAGTAGGCGCGATCTAGACAAGGAAGTGGCACTTCACACCCCTCAGGCAGGGTTTGCCTTCCGTTCTTCTGCTATGTGGTCTTTCGCGGCAGGACCATAGTAAAAGTCAGTCACATAACCGCACACAGTAACCCGCAGTGATTGATGCACAGCAGCAACAATTTGCTACATAGATTCTGTTGAAAATTCTGTTGAAAACCGATAAAATTGCGGAATATATGCAGAAACGAAGTCGACTAAAACTCCAAAAAAAAAGAAAATACAAAAACTTACAATAACATCAATGTCACTCTCATACGAGTCGCGATCCTCGTAGAAATCGTCAATCGTCGGCTCCGCTTTCATCTCATGAGAGACTGATGAACGCATCTATAGAAGGAAATCTCAGAACAAGGCTTCTAACCATATTTTGAGCCATACAAATTACTACATCCTAATTAGGATTTCGTTTTGAACTGTGCACCTTGAAGGAGACTCTTCCGCTCAAGTCATGCAAGAAACTGGAAAAGAAATAAAAAGAATTAATAAGAAGGGAGATAAAGAATCAATATGCTGGCAAATTAAGCGCGAACTAAGCGCTAAAGTAGTTGGACCGATCCACAGTAAGCGGCACCGCGGAGCGTTACTCTATATTCCCTGCCACCGAAATTGTCGACCTCCCCCTTCCCCTCCCCGAGCACAGCCCTAGAAAGGGCCAAACGAGCAGAGTGAGCGCGACCTAGTCACCTTACCTTCTCCAGGCCATGCTCTAGAACGGACAAGACGAGCAGAGGAAGCGCGGCCCAGTTACCTTGCCCTTCCCAGGCTCAGCTCTAGAAAGGAGCAGAGGCCTAGAAGGAGAGCAACGTCAGTTTACTCTCTCTAGAGCCAGCCAAAGAACGACAAAACAACCAGAGTGAGCTCCGCCTGTTTACCTAACCCTCACCAGGCTCGGTACTAGAAAGGGCCAGACGACCAGAGTGAGTGCGCCTGGACTTGTAGACTTGTTGTTCTGACCTCCTCCCCC